GAATCTGGTGGGATGACTAAGGCGACACGCAGAGGTTCCCTACTGGCGCGCTAGCTGCCGGTGTTTGAACCGGGGTCCTTAACCGACTAGTGAATTTGTCTTTGCGTTTTCCCAATTACGGATGGAGATGCAAAGAGACACAAGGTTTATCTTGGTTCGGACAATGGATGCCCCTCGCCCGATCCGAGAAGATGTTCTTGTATTCCTTGCACCGGGTGCTCGTAGTAAGGGGTTACAAGCTAGGCGAGAGAGGAGTTCGTCCCGAGTCTCTGTGAGAGGGAGGTGATATGAATTACGAGAATGAGGCGTGTTGTTCGATGCGAGTATTCGCGACTCTATCCGTCGTCCCTAGAAAGCGGTCCTGGCTGCCTCCTTTTATAGCCGCGAGGAGGAATCCGAGGAGTACATAAAGAGAGCTACGTGGAGCAAGGACTATTCAATGGCGTATTTACTCTGGAGCAAAGATGAGCGTTGTCATGGGAGTTCCGTAGATGTCTAATCGGTATGGTCTCTTCGCTGCGCATTTGTTGACTTGGTGGATTGCGCGAGGCTCGGCGGTCATCGTAGCCGGTCGCGTGCGAGGGCTGTCGTCTCGAGGGCTGCCGTCGTGCGAGCACGAGAAGTGACCAGTGCGTGATCTGCGGGTCTCGGCCGCCATCAGCGGAATAGTGCGAGGCGATGCGCCCTACGGATACGGTACTGTATTGTCGAGAAGGGATGGTAGAAAAGGTGATCTCGACCGTTGTCCGTCGCTCCTGTTGCGTAGCAAGACCGCCGATCGTGGCTTACATAGCGGGTGCAGCTGAGCACATTAATCGGACGTGAGAGCCTGCCAGAGAGACTTTTGAGGCGGAGGCGATGAGGTTGCGGAACGAGCCCGGCCTCGGGCGTAGGTGAGAACATAATGGTCGTCCGAGGCCCTACCGGGGTCCCGGGCGACGGATGGGCGGCGGCGAGTAAGATTAGTGAATCCGAGGCCCTGTCGAGGGGCTCGGCGAGACGGAGCGGTCGGTCCGCTGATTCCGAGGCTACAGGAACCCGTTCTGACTCCCACATTGCGATGTCCTTGGTGCAGGAGTTAGGCATCACAGTGGTCGGTAACCCCTGCTCTGTGCCGTCGCAGATGGCAGGAGGTTGACGCGATTGGCGTGTAGTCGGTCACTTATTTGTCTTATCTTGTGCCATCGTAAATGCGTCTGTCGGAGTGGTTGGGCGCTTGGATGCGACGTTCGGTCAGGGCAGTTTGGTTGAAGAGGCGGCCACGGGGCTGGTGCCGAGCCGGCCTCGCGCGAATCGGCACTTCTTCCGAGGCCCCGGGCGAGGGGGCCTCGGCGAGGCGGTCTCGGACGAGTCGGAGAATCGTTCGCTTCCGCTGGGGCTCGGCGACGGGGTCTCGGGCGAATCGGAGATTTCGGCCGAGACCTCGTTCGTTTATTCCGTTGGTTCTGTTCTTATGGTCTAAGCAGTTTTTCGACCTTTGCTTGGGGTACCCTATTTTCGGGTATCCGACACTTTCTTTAGTATCTTCGTGATCCTATCCATCCAACATACCAAACTCAGAGTCACCTCACATGGGCAGATTTGATTTTAGATAATCCCTCACGAAAACTCTTTCAGACTAAGCTAAGAGCGTTTTTATTTTCAGAATTGCTGAATTTTTCCTTTGCCTTTTCTTCCTGAGGTAGTAAACAAAGCTTGGGTGTGTTTAAGGTCTCTAGCACCTGAATCGCCAGTTACAAAGTTACAGTCATTTTTCGTGTAATTGCTAGGAATGATTGGCGTAACTAAAAATTTGGTGTTCAACTCCTCTAAAATAACTCAATTTTTCAACACCTTTATCTCTTATTATCTGGGTGCTAAACACCCACCTTTTTTCTATTTGCATACATGTTCACAAAATCCGGGTGTTGGGTAGACAGCCCTTTTTTCTTTTCTTTTTTCTGCTTGGAAAATTAGTTTTAGCTGTCGAAATGTTATACTAGTATACTCTGAACATTCTCCTTGAGCTAAAAGACAGTTCGGACTTCACATCAGCAGGTCACAGTCTCATGAAACGAATCGATGAAAAGGTTGCTAATCGTTTGCCGAAAATTCTCTACCTTGACTAGACAACCAAATTTTTTATAATTTGGTCTTTTTTTTTAAAGAAAATTTAGGTTTTGTTCTCTGGAGACGTAAATTCATTTTTGGATCATGGGGTCGATGCTAGGACTCATGGCTCCGAAGTAACACGTCTCGACGCCATAAATCTTAGCTCCGAGGTGTCTGACCATGCACAACAGAGTATCCTAGATGGCGTTGACGTGGCCGGTACCTCAGAGCCATAAATCTTGGCTCCGAGCTCGGAGCCACAGATCTTGGCTCCGAGCTCGGCGCCGAGATCCACGGCTCCGTGGATCTCGCCACGAGCTCGGAGCCATGGAGCCATAGTCTACAAAGATACCTTCAGGTGTCAGAACATGTACTAAAAATTGTACTCGATCTAACCAAAACTCACACTTACTGAATTTGGCATACAACTTGTGTTCCCTTAATCGAATCAATACTATCCGAAGATGTTGTGCATGCTCTTCTTTGTTCTTAGAGTATATCAAAATATCATCAATTATCATCAATTTCTCACATCTTGTTAATGCGGCGTTGACGAAGTGTAGGCTCAAACACAAAATTGGCACACATCCAATACCTCTGTCTATACATGTCCTCTTCATCGGACTTGGCTATCTTACAAGGATCACCGCACCAGCACATGGGCACTAGAACACCACTAGGCAGAGGCAATGGATCGAAGGTATTTTTGGCCATCCGGCCATAACTACAATTGAACCAAATTTGTTCTATGAACTGAAAGCAATGAACATTAAACCCTAAACCTAGGGTTTTTCCATTTGTTGCACATAAATGAAAACATAATATAACACGATGATAAGAGATTACCTTGACTTACTAGCTTTACCACGTTTTGGCATCCTACCGTTACATAATACAAAAAATAAAAAATCACTTCAAACATTAGGTAATAACGTATCTAGGGTTGCAAAATAGACGTAATATATACCAAATCAATGCGTAAAAAATGATAAGGGGAGAGAGGATACCTTACTCGCGAAGATGTATGGATCAAATCCAAGTATCCAAGGTCAAATTCGTCGATTCAACAGTTTGGGCGGGTTAGGGAGAGAGAGAACCCGAAAGGGAGAAGGAAGAAATGAAAGCAGCCTCGGCAAGGGAAATTTGGTCGTGGGTTTCGAATCCATGCTCGGCGAGAGGATCCATGGCTCCGAGCTCGGAGCCGAGATCCACGGCTCCGAGGTCGGAGCCACAGATCTTGGCGCCGAGTTCGAAGCCAAGATCTGTGGCTCCGAGGTACCGGCCACGTCAACGCCACCTATGATGCCCTGCTGTGCATGGCCAGACACCTTGGAGCCAAGATATGTAGCGCCGAGACGTGTTACCTCAGAGTTATGAGTCCTGGCGCCGACCCCTAGGGTCCAAAGATGAGTTTACATCTTTCAGAGGCCAAACGTAAATTTTCTTTAAAAAAGAGAGACCAAATTGCAAAAAAATTGGGACTAGACAATGTGTTTCTTGATGCAGAAAGATTGGACAGTTAACGTATTTGGTTGGCTTGGCGGCTGCATCGTTCGTCAGCATGTTCGCTTGCTCGTAAACGATCGTAAATTTCCAGCCGGGAACAGTGTTTTCCTCTCACACCAAATCAGCCAGCAGTAAATAATCCACGATACGATACGGCCTTCCGAACAGGCTGATTATTTTTCTGCGTCAGTAGCATGAGTGTACCCGTCCGGCTATTAATCCTTTCATTTCAACTGGGCGTGTCATTAGGTGACTAAATTCTAAAAAGAACTTCACCAGTACATAAAATCCTTTTTCACTAGCATGTTGCGGTTGACTTGGCTCTAGTCTGGCCATTTCAGCAGGAGAAATTAAAGTGCTGCTTCAGTTTGTCCCATGGAAAATGCCATATGCATGCTTCGGCATGCCCGCGGCCCGCCTGAATATCGACCATTTCTTCAATTCCTGCAACAAGTTTCTCCTTGTAGAGGCACAAACAAGTTCTTTTTTAACACACACAAAAAAACATGCTTTAATTTGGAAAAGGTTTTTCAAACAAGTAAAAAAAAAATCTTCCAGCACACCACTGTTGCAATCTTCAGCACCCAAATTTCAGTGTGGGTCGTGCATCGTTACATGAAAACTATGCAAAATGTTTGACCAATATAGTATATTAATCGCCATCTAGAAATTAATCATGATCGACTCTTGGTTGCAAAATAAAAATCATCTCTTTTACTCCATGAGAAAACAGTACAATAGTTTTAGCAAGCCTGTGAATTCTTTGTTTCCAGTCTGAAAACCATGCAGTTTTAGCAAGGTATAGGATGTGTTGGATGGAACTAGTCCGAACTGGCAATGATTTCTCCGTTGGAGAACTAACTGAAAATCGTGAAAATGCGTGCGTTGCTGTCGAATGGCAGGTGGATCGTTCGCCTACTTGCGGGTGGAGCTCGGCGACTTCATGGCGTTCGTGGCGGCGGGCAACATCCTGCTGGAGTACTGCATCGGCGGCGCGGCCGTGGCGCGCGCCTGGACGTCCTACTTCGCCACTCTGCTGAACCACCAGCCCAGCGACTTCCGCATCCACGCGTCGGGGCTCGACGCCAACTACTCGGAGCTGGACCCGATCGCCGTGGTCGTCATCGCGCTCGTCTGCATCTTCGCCGTGGTCAGCACCAAGGGCACCTCCCGCTTCAACTACGTCCTCTCCATCGTCCACATCGCCGTGATCATCTTCATCATCGTGGCTGGGCTCACCAAGGCCGACGCCGCCAACATGCGGGACTTCATGCCCTTCGGCGTCCGCGGCATCTTCTCGGCGTCCGCCGTGCTCTTCTTCGCCTACATCGGCTTCGACGCCGTGAGCACCATGGCGGAGGAGACCAAGAACCCGGCGCGCGACATCCCCATCGGGCTCGTGGGCGCCATGACGCTCACCACCGCGCTCTACTGCGTGCTCGCCGTCACACTCTGCCTGATGCAGCCGTACTCGTCCATCGACGCCGACGCGCCCTTCTCCGTGGCGTTCTCGGCCAGGGGCATGGACTGGGCCAAGTACATCGTCGCCTTCGGCGCGCTCAAGGGGATGACCACCGTGCTGCTCGTCAGCGCCGTCGGCCAGGCGCGGTACCTCACGCACATCGCCCGGACGCACATGATGCCGCCGTGGCTCGCGCAGGTGCACCCGCGCACGGGGACGCCCGTGAACGCCACCGTCGTCATGCTCGTCGCCACCGCCATCATCGCCTTCTTCACCAACCTCAACATCCTCTCCAACCTGCTCTCCATCTCCACGCTCTTCATCTTCATGCTCGTCGCCGTCGCGCTGCTGGTCCGCCGCTACTATGTCGCCGGGGAGACCACGGTCGTCAACCGGAACAAGCTGGCGGCGTGCATCGTCGCCATCCTGGCCACGTCGGTGGCGACGGCGACGTGCTGGGGGGTGAACGTCAACGGGTGGGTGCCGTACGCGGTGACGGTGCCCGCGTGGTTCGTGTCGACGGTGTGCCTGTGGGCGTTCGTGCCGCAGGCCAGGGCGCCCAAGCTGTGGGGCGTGCCGCTGGTGCCGTGGCTGCCGTCGGCGTCCATCGCCATCAACGTCTTCCTCCTGGGCTCCATCGACTCCAAGTCGTTCATGCGGTTCGGGATCTGGACGGCCGCGCTGCTGGTTTACTACCTCTTCGTTGGTCTGCACGCGTCCTACGACACGGCCAAGGCGCTCGCCGCCGAGTCTGCCATCGCCAAGGTGGAGGATGGGGATGGCGACGGCAAACCGGCACGAGGCGCTGTCCATAACGGCGAGTACTGAAGGGAGATGTAATCGTGAATGTAAAGTGCTTTTTGGTGCCTATAAAGCTATAATATGATTGTTAGTCGCTGACAGGCGAACATAAGTTTGTACAAATCTTCTGTTGTCGTCAGACACTGTCACTTGTTTATGTAACTAGCTCGTGTTGAGTTACTAGGTCCGTACAATGTATATTGGACAATGTTTTTTTTTCTCGTCTCCTGGTGACCAAGGTGTGATTGTCTGAAGTCAAGCACAAAGATTATAATGCATTCATCTTTGTGGCTACGTGGAAGCTGCTCTGAGCAAGTGAAGTTAAGTTTCATTTGTACCGTATCCCAGCTGACCTCCATCTTTTAGTTATGACTTATGACCAAGGCGGTGTTGATTCTTCATTCATTTGTACAGCCCAGATAAGTCCATCATTCGCACTTTGGTATAAACCACAAAAGGGATTTGATCGACATATTTTAATATTCGCATTTAGCTGTTTTATATATGATTTTTCGTATCACCAATTCATATAATTATTTTCCAGCTGGCAATATGCCGAAAGGTTTGTCACCTGCAGGCTCTGAAACCCCCGCAAGTACATGTATATCTTTACATAAGGCCAAACCGTTGATAGTTAGGCTTCAACACCTTTGTTTTCTTGTTAAGCAAAGTGCGAACTCTCACGTCACGGGTAAGTCACCAACGTGCAAAAGTTCGGTAATGCTATGATTGCATCCGGACGGCTCTATTCCTGGGCCTACATAGCGATCGGACCCTATAGGCAATCGACCTACTTTCCTCTACGCTCTCTCCTCTATCTCTACCCCGCAACAAAATCCCTCCGATAGAAATCTCCATTCTCTTTCGCTCGTCACGGCTTCACTGCATTGGATGTCCGCCCCACTCCGCGTCGCCACAGCGTGCAGCTTCTGCAGCCACGCCCCGTCCACTCCTCCTATAGAACCTCGTCGGTGCCCGCTCCACTCCGCCTCGCCGTTGCTTACCACATCTGCCGCCATGCTGCGCCCACTCCTACAGAACCTTGTCGACGCTGGCATGATCGATGAGTCAGACGTCTTCGGCGGTGCGGGGGACGACGTAGACCTCTCTGGTAGGGACTTCGACCTCGGCGTGTGGAAGCTCCTGGCCGTCACGGCGCTCTCCTTCGCCGGCGTGCCCGCGCTGCACTGCTCGGGTACCTCGTCCAAGTAGCAAGGTGACATTTGCCCAACGCATGTTGTAAGTTTATGTTTCAAGTGTTTCAGGTGTTTCATCTTGATGTTGCAAGTGTTTCATCTTGATGTTGCAAAAGTAGATCGTGATATTGCACATGTTGTAATGGCTATACATGTATGTTTCAAGTGTTTGTTTCAAATGTTTCATCTGTTTTTTCATATGTTCGTTATAAGTGTTTTATCTGAATGTTGCATATGTTTCACACATATGTTGCAAGTGTTTTATCTGGATGTTACGTATATTTGTAATGGTTTTTTTTCAAGAGTTTCCAAGTGTTTTGCAAGTGTTTCATACGTATGTTGCAAATGTTTCTGTTGTTTTGTACGTATGTTGTAAGTGTTTTATCTGAATGTTTCAAAAGTATATCAGGATGTTGCACATGTTGCAATGTGACCCACCCTGCCACAACAACCTGCTGCAGCTGCTTGGGTGTTGTGTATGCTTGTGGGGGAGCGGAGGGTTGGAGCGCTGCTCGGCAGCGGCCACCAGAAGCGGAGGGCGATGGCGGCAGGGGCACAAACGGTTCCCACGCGACATGCGCGAGCGGCAAGCGCAGGGGGTGCCGGCGGAAAGCGGAGGGGGCGCGGGCAATCCGGATAGAGGCACGAAGTGGAGGCGCAGTTTCCTAGGGACAGCAGCTTCAGACGCAGAAACGGACTGTAGCCACGGGTGTCAAACACGGACGTTCGTCCGGACGCTAGAAGTGCCTGATTAAGTTCGGGCTACTTGTTTCGCTGGAACCCAACCACGTCAACTGCATAATGAGACAATTACATCGACTCCGAATTCATGTTGCAGCTTTTAAAAGCGCTCTTTACTTGCCGCACGCGGCACACGTACCGGCGTACCGCTCACACCGAGCTGACTTGATAAACATCTCATGGTTTGCGACAATCTCTCATGCCTCTCATTATCCCAAATTCTAGTTTTGTATTCCTTATGTTTAAATCTGCACATAAGCAGTTTCTGCCTGTATTCATTATTAGTTCGTTACCTTGGAACTTTTGAGGTAATAATTTTCAAACATATACTATTTGAGAAGCAGCAAGAAGCAAAGAAACACATATATTAATTAAAGATGACTATCCAAGCCTGTATGATAGTCGGTCATAAATCTATTCTCATGGTTCTCGAAAGTGAAGAATTGGCTTTCACGAACAAAATATAAATGCGCAAAAAAAAAGTATAATGTGATAGATGTCTATCCGAATAACTTTTTCTCTTTCCACAGTTATTTTTGGAACTTTTACTTAGGAAGCTATTTTAGAAAATTTTACTTTGGATTTTATATCTTTTCGGCAGCTATAAGCACACCAGCAGCCAAGCACTGCACGTCGCGTGCCTGAAACTTCAGTACATATTTTTATACACAAGGCTGATTCACGCGCTCCGCTGCGCGAGCGTAGGGGATAAAAAGATTGTACGGCACCAAACAGCAGTCGAAGCCCGAAGAAGCAAAAAAACAAAAAAGGAAAAAAGGAAAAAGAACAGGGGACGTAGCGCAGAGGAGAAAAAGAAAAGAAAGAAAAAAAGCTAAAAAACGAAAAAAAGAAAAGTAAAAAGTGAACCGTAGCAGAAGGGCTGAGGAGGCCGGGATTCCTGGGTGGTTAAAGGAAGTAGTTATGAGCTTATCCCTTTCCGAACTGGCATTACACATCACTAATCTGTGTCTGTCACTCAAATCCTATCGTCTCGCACTAGATCGACGGGACCCGCATGACCTCCAAATCGTGAATCTGAAAAGCCCTCAAAACTTTAACCCTTCGAAAATATGCGAGGGCGAGGCAAACCGAAAAGCTTAAGGGCTCAAAACTTCAAACTCCGAAATACGCGAGGGAAAAGCAATCCAAAATGTCTAAAGGTTTAAAACTTCGACCCTCTAAAAATACACGAGGGCGAAGCAACCAAAAAAGTATAAGGGCTCAAAATTTTGACCCTCCAAAAATACGAGAGGGTGAACCAATCATAAAAGCCTAACGGATCAAAACTTTGACCCTGCAAAAATGTGCGAGGGCGAAGCAATTCAAAAAGTCTAAGGGCTCAAAACTTGAACCATCCGAAAATAAGTGTGGCAGAACCTCCTAAATTATAGGGTCCACATGCGCCTGTCACTGTCCAACGACCTTTGACATCTATGCATACGTTCCCGATAACTTAAGAAGGCTGTCGGGTGTCCTCGGGAAACCCCGAATCATCCACAATTTCTGAGCAGAATCACATTACAGAGTCATTGTAGTATTACAACAGTTTATTCAAATAGACACATCAGAGTAAAAACAACGGAAGTCTTACAATAACTTAATTTACAAAACAGTTGTTTCAAACCATACAACTAAGTTTGATATTAATACAAACCAAAATAGTGGAGTGTCATTATAATATATTACAAAACACACAACATAAGCTGCCATGCCCAAGAGCCACACATTTAATTATCGTCATCGCACTGAACAACAGTCATGCAGCACGATCCAAAACAGATCTGCTCATGAACCTCACCTGCAACAAGGGTCAACGAACCCTAAGTATAAAAGTACTCAACAAGACTTAACCGAAAATAAAAACTGATAGAACTTATGAATGCAGGCTCGGGGATTCAAGGTATGACTTTAGCAATAATCAAAGTTCTTTTGCGTAAAAACTTTTTAATAAAATTCTTTACATCAACATTTAAAACTTCATAAACTCATATACAAAGCTCACACGATCCGTAATGAGATCATGAAACTTCATAACCAACACCTTCACAGACCATCCTCAAGTTCCAGTTATTAATTACTACGATGATGAACAGTGAGTTGAGTCTCCATAACCGAGGAGCAACGACGATTCAAACCAATTAAAAACCCAGCTGGGAATTCCAGACCACACGTCATATGCAGGTCCCCGACTTATATATATCAACCTACCCTCGGATCCTCTAAACAAGAACGGGCCCGCGCCACCCGAGAATATAGTACTCCACCAATCCAGCCTATTGCCACATGGGTACACGCTATTCCCGCCATCTCTCCACTCCTAGTGCGCGAGTAGCCATTCTCGTAATAGAATAGCCAAGTTAAGGCTTAGCGGAGTATGTGGTTAGTACTACAAAATCTCACCTCATGCAATTCAACAACGGACGGACCTTAATCGACACAGGCGGAAAGAACCCACTCACAAGACCTCCATGTCTTGTGGCTCTCACACACCGAGTCCACCCGGTCTAGATTTATTACTCCACATTCCCATATCACATGTTAACATAATTAACCAAAGTTCCATTTAAAGTTCGCAGGTGACAGGTAATCACCCGACTTTCATTGTTCTAAGCATAGCTAAGCAAAACTAAGCATATACGAATTTAAAACTAGTAATATGGTAAATATGGAATAACAAGGTTGGTAACGTACCAATTTGGTTTTCACTTGACTCCTAATCACTTAATATAGTAAAAAGAAGCAAAAGCGAAATTAATTTGTAAAATACAAGGTAGGGTTGTATGCATCCGGGGCTTGCCTTCGTTGACGGAAAAGTCCGGGTCCGGAGTCGTTCCACCGATATCAACACCAACCACCACTGACGGATCAACTTCCTCAACTACTTGATTAACTACCATGTGTTCACCTTCGTTCACTACACGTAGTAACAATGCCATGTTTAACATGATGCGGAATACGAAACATGATGCTCGATGATGGATGCAAAATTAACAACTTGAATACAACTTTCCTTCGCGGTACAGTTACAAGTTAAACTAACTAAACAATTTTCGCAACACTCACAACAATTGCCAAGGATCATCACCAACT